ATCCCTTTATCCCTACGGTAGAAGAAAGATTGTAAAGGTTCTACCTCTATTTACTCTTTTGCCCCCCTCCCCATCCCCCTCTACCCCCAGTGGGGACACATTCACTATTTATACATTTACAACAATGCGTCGTCCTATTGGACCATGGATGCTTCAGGCTAAAAAAAAAGATAAAATCATTTTATTCCTACGGTAAAAAAAGGAATTTCAAATGTTTTACCTCCCGCTCCTATCTGCCCCAAAGGGGGTCCAAACCCACCGTTTATACGAAATTGAATCCCCTTGGCCCAAGGACGCCCCAGACCATATTTTGATGAAATCCCTTAATTCCTATGGTTGAAGAAGGATTTTAAACGTTTTACCTCTATTTCCCATTTATCGCCACACCCCTTTGTTCCCAGGGGTCCAAATCCACCTTTTATATAAAATTGAGTCCCCTTGGCCCAAAGATATTCCACACTAAATTAAAATAAAATCCCTTTATCCCTACGGTAAAAGAAGGATTTAAAGGTTTATCTCTATTTTCCCTATTAGGGCCAACCCCTCTGACCCCAAGGAATCCGAACCCACCTTTTATACCAAATTGAGTCCCCTTGACCCAATGATGCTCCAGACTAAATTTACTCAAAATTCAATGAGCCGTTAAGGATAAGTAACGTTATAAATGAAAAGATGACGGACGGACGACGGACGACGGACGCCTCGCCATGGCAGAAGCTCAGAATGTTTTCACTTTCTTCGTGCAATTCCCCCTACAGTTTTGTAGTAATAACACAATGTATCTATAACTCCACTGCAAGTTCCTCTATTATCATTTCCTTGAGAAATAATACTTATAGAACAATGAACGCAATTCGATCAGCATCATTTTGAAGTTTTTCCTCCTGCCTCGATTGATATGAAACAACCGCTAGAATAAAACATTTTTGTGATGTTAGGCTGTTCCAGGAAACTTGTTTGCGCTGACGACACAGACACTTCAATATTGAAAATATAAGGGAATACCTATGTTTGGGTAAATCATTACAAAATATTTCGAATGTAACTATAAGGATTGAACGGTTTGTTTTAAATGTTCATGCTTGTATGAAATTGAAAAAACCCGTTCAATCCTTTTATGCGATACTATGGTAATTATCATCAAAAGCATAACTCTTCTTTTTACCTCTAAAACATCTAACTGTAAATATAATACACAGAGAGTAAAACGTTTAAAATTAAAAATCATATTTTTGTTTTAATTCAAACTTATATAAATATCACAAAGCATAAGCTGAAATTATTATGGATAGATTAATCTTCAACATATGATTGTCTGCTTTATATTATCTGTTACTTGCTTCATTGAAATCGCTGAGCAAATATCCATAACAAGAGACCACAGAGAATGATGAGTGTCGACACTGGCTCTGCAATATTAAGAAGAAGGTTACGTTACAAATTAATAAATCCATATATTTTATTTTTAATTGCTAAAATGAATGCGAAATTTCTCATATTGTAAGAGTGGCGTTTATTTCATATACCTTTTCCAACTGCTGATGATGCGATTATTCTTGAATCATGAACGACGAAAGCCGTTCTAGCAATTGCTATAGACTTTTGCTGGATGACGCTCCTTCGCTTCCTTGTGCCTGGCGCAACGGTTTTGGATGGATCATGGCAGCCCGCCGATGTCTCAGAAAGTGTACGTAGGGAGTTCTGTTGAGAAATATATATCGTGTTGATCATCTATGGCATTTATTCTAACCAGTAAAAAAAAATTCCCGATGATATTAACTAAAAAACTAAATTTTGTTGATTTGAATGGTTTAAAATGTCAATTGTATCGGACATAATTAAAAACTAAAATACATTTCTTAAAGATTATCACAGATAGCAGTTGTAAAGTGTAAATGTCCAGGTACACATTACTTTGCCATTAATAATCGATAAAGGACACTCAGCGAACTTGTTTTGAGTTAGCTTAATATTGAAATGCAAATATTCTGTCGCTAAAAACAGTGGACGGTGTTTTTTTCTACTTTCTTGTATATGAGATCATTTTTTAAAGGAGGACATCTAATATCATCTGATTTTCAACTATGGAATTAAATGCATCAGAAACGTTTTATTACAAAGAAAGGACAGTCACATTTAGAAATCAGTTGGACTGATCAATAGATCGTATGCCTATATGTTGCAGTGCCTAAACTAGGGAAAACATTTGAACATTTTAACAGGGAATATTGTTGGATATATTCATAATGATGGTGACGATGTGTATCGACAACGTGACACTGTATAGGTCTTGTACCGGGTAAGACAGGGTGTATGGGTATTGCGTTGTTTACTACGTGGTATATATAGGGATTGAATGTACATTGCGGCAATAAATAGCAGTAGCTGATCTGCATATCCTGTGGTGCGAGAATAGCCAGAACTCCACCCTACACACAAACTTCAAAGGTTCGAATTGCGCCGATCAGCTGATTTGTTAAAACGAAAAAAACCCACTATAATCTCATAATAAACAACGCTTGGTATTTCCTTTCATTTTTGAAAGTTGATCTTATTTCATGTTTTTTGAATTTAACGCCGCAAATTACATCCTGCTGAGGTAAATGTAGATAAGTTGGTGGATGAAGTCCCCTGTGTCATTACAAAGTTCTCTGATGTACTAGTTGATGTCACGGGGACTACCCAGCCAGACGTGTGGGTGTTCGAAAGTTCGTGACCACGATCGCGAGGAACCGATGGCGAGTCGCCATTACACATTATGATTATGTCCCGCGATGGAATAGCCAAGATAGTGTGAGGCACTTGTGATACCCGTAAGTGTTCTGGATTACCGTCTGAGTGCATAGATAGTGATTGAATAGTTTTTCAGCGACCGAATCCGGTTTTATATATCAACAATTGAAGCCAGTGGAATACATGCGTTTTGCTGGGGCTTCATTAGAGGGAAACCCACCCTGATATTTTGTTTGTTTTGTGTTATGATTGATTGTTACAAAGCTCGTCTAAAATAAATTCAAAAGAATTAACTCGCAGCTGTTCGTGGAACTCCAGTCCCCTGGTCACAAACAGGTTGTACCATACGTTCTGTCGGAGGACACTGGATATTTGTGTTAAATGTAAGTGCGATATAATTTCCTTGTGTGCCGTTGGACGAGCCACTCCAGTCCTCGTAGGCTCTTTTAACAGGCCGCCTAGTGTACGATTCCCTTTTTTGAAATTTACCCCGCGAACAATATCAATATTCCGACCTATTCTTGGTCCAAATCTAAATGTAAAAAAAAAATCTCCTTTCGCCTGTGGATTTGGAAAAAGAGCGTCATTTGTGTGATGGTTTAAATGGTTAGATAATTGCTTTATATCAAAATTTGCAATTACTGATTCATTTTACCAGTGCTGTATAACAGAACGTATTACACGAATCGACAAATTCAACAATTTCCAAATCTGATTTTTTAATCCATTTAACTGTTTTTAAATAGCTTGTACGTTATCTTAAAGCGTGTACAAGGGGAGCAAACTCTTGCCAAAAAAAGTTCCCGGTGTATTAATATCAAGTGGAGTTTGTGTAAAATCAGCGACCGTTACACGTGACTGATTGTCATTCATGATGTTTTCATGATGTTTTCATAATCTAGTGCATGCTGTTTTGAGTTGGTAGGTTCATGTAGAGAAGAAACAGTGAGAATGTAAATATAACGAAATATATAAGACACTGAGTACATGGCTATGTGCTTGTAGAGAGTCCTGTGTAGTTTTCGTTTTTAGATATGATATTGACGTGTTTAATGTAATATTGCAGTTTTGTCATACCGTCGAGACTTGATGTGATATATGTCTAAGTAAGAATGATGATTGGGTGTGATTGTGTGTACAATGGAATTTGTTTTGTTGGAAGGGTAGGTAAGAAAGATTGCATGTTTATGCACACCAATGTCGTCCACGCATTTTACGTCATTTTTATCATGGAAGTAGACAAGTGCATATGTTTAATTACTATAACCTCTGCTTTGATGATAGTTATGATCATGATGGTTGGTCTAATTATGCTTAAGCTTAGTAGAAGACATTTTCCGGATGTCCTTGGTTATATTGTTTGCATTGTGTGCTAAATGTAAGTGTAAAACAAGTGTCCGATAGAAAATCATCTGCATTTGAAACCAATATTAGATGTTATTCACGGTATGTACAGTCTTGACCTAACACAGTCAAGTGACATAATTAAAACAGATATATGATTTGTACTAAGGGTTACCTCACATCCATCCGGCGGACACACGTGTACTTTACATTCCAAAAAAATATTTCTCGAACCTACAAAGCGGAATCCATTAAAATCTACTTCTACTTTTCCTAGATCTTGTGAGTTTATTTGAAATTTGGTTTTAAAAATATCAGTGTCGCAAGGGCACCTGAAACAGAAAAAAATATATAAAAAAAAAATCAAACAATCAATTCATAGCATATACAATTGCATTGAATATATGTGACATGATTTAATTTGTTCTAGTTAACGTTGAAAAATCGAGATATCAGACGCCTTAACCACTTGGCCACAGCGGAGTTTATTTGACTCCATTTTTAATAAATGTCTTTGTATTGTATAAAGGGGTTCACCATATTTTTAGAGATAATTAACAAAAAGCATAGTATTTAGAGTCACAAGATTAACGTGGGTGTTCGGACATCCGCGCACAGCACATCGCTTGCCGCCTCGATTGGAACTCATTAAAATTGTCAAAAAACTGTCATTTTATGTACATGTATGCAGTATTTTAAATATTACCTACACAGGTAAGTAACGACGGAACATGCATATAGAACTCACAATCGAACCCTTTTCGGCATATGCCTATCGGGCTGTTTTGACAGCGTTGAACTTGTGACATCACATATGTGGCCAACCCATAACGATGCGATCGCCGCGCAATATCTCGAAAACGGAGTCAACTACGACGTTTGCACTTTGCACGTCAGCCTTTGATTGTGTAAAATGAAGTATTTACATAGCTTGATATACCAAACCGTTCAGGGTACACTTTAAGCATGGGCCCTTCCGGACAAATTTTATTGAAATTGGCTCGGTGGTTTCGAAATAGAACTTAAAGCTGTGAATTTAGTAAGGGATACACAACAGACGAGACAAACAAAATGTGATCGCAATAAGTCAAATGAGATTTCGTCTCAGGTATCTAACACAAACGATTCGATTTTATGATTAGCCATAATTGAGATTAACAATAGCTAGGAACAATCGCAGTTTGGAACATAAGACAGAAGGTGAGAAAATTGATATTAAGAAACAAATTAAATGTCGTTTGAAGATTCCTTTACCCATTTTCCAATAACGTGACGTTTCTGTCACCCGTAGCTCCGCTGCTGACGTCTGCTGCATAGCACTTTTGCGGGATTACCACATAGTTTTCTGTAATAAACAATGGATGGGGATTTTAAGCATAGCCAACATAAATATTCATTAAGCATTTTCTTCTGTATCATGTTCATATTATCCGAAATATGACTGAATTTTATGCATATATTTAATCACCATAGCAAAGTTAGAAATAAAGCTATAACTTCAATCCAACCGTCAGATGTATCATTGAATTATGTTTGACAATAATATACCTCAATGTTTTCAATCCAGGAAATTCATTTGGAAATTGCATTTTACTTTCAAGAGAAGCCCCATGAGCCTGTACGACTAACCGTATTCATCTCTCGTCTTAAAATGTGACCTTCAAACAAGATCAGGGGGAAATTTGATAAAGTAGACTCAATAGCATAACCCTTTAAATTCTAATTCATTTTGAAGATTTTATTACTCTATCTGCTATGAATCTTTTTGAGGAGATTTTATTTATTATTTATTTTACACATTCATCAAAATAAGATGCTGAAGGTAGTCTCAGGTCTAGGACTGTGTAGCACTTCACATTATTAAGCTACGTATTAAATACCATTACTCGAGGATTCTAGATTAATCAGAGGAGGTTGTTAAATGGTTTACACGCATTTGGTTCTGATGCATTAAAGGGTCAACGTCTCTCATTTGAGCAATCTTTCTTCTAGTACGTAAAGACAAAAAATCACGACCCTTAATATGCAAAAGGCTTCATTGAATATTTTAACACATCCTAGTTCTGCTATATACAATACATGGCCAGTGTAGTAAGCTGGAATAACAGTATAACACTTCATACTACTTTTAACCACGCACGCTTCAGTTCAAATATATTAAACCTATGCATGTTGATGATTCTGAAATATCGTGCAACAGATACACAAACATGAGAATTGAGATCTTCCTAGAAAGTGAATACAAGAATCTTATTTGATAACCTTCTTTCCATGTTGCTACCGGTCAAGTATCGTGACTCTGAGATCCACAGTAATATACAAGAAATTGTTTAAACATTTTACCCTATGACCTTTGCAGTAGATAAAGGTCAGTGATTTGACAAAGATGAAGGTTACTCATTTAGGTATGGTATTGGCTAAATACCTTGGGCCTCTTGATTATTTAGGAAATGTTCAAAAACTTTTAAATACATTATACCCAAATGACCTTAAAGTGGATCAAGGTGATTTATTTAAACTCTATATACCATATTATAGGCCTAACAGTATGGGCCGTTGTCCTCTTGATTATTCAGTTAAAGCTCTTTAAATGTTTTAATACTCTGACCCCCGTGACTTTGACCCCATATTTATGTGATTCATTCAACCAAAGGGTAACCCTTCACTAATTTGTTTTGCAAAATATCATCAACCTGAGGATTTTGATTGGTCAAAAGATATATTTAAAATGTTGTCACTCTTTTTATCCATATGATCTTGGAAATAGATCGATGTCAACAATTCCAGCTCCGCCTCCCAGCACGTCTATTTGATATTCAGAAGTCGTTCAAAATGACACAGGACGACGGAGAGACACACGAAGGAAGACAGAAGACTGGGAACGTTTAATACCCCTTGCTTTTCGTTACGGTAGTATTAAACTGAATTGAATTGTATATCCTTTTTAATAGTGTTTGCTTTAACGTCATTGAGATGCTAGATAGGCATAGACAAAATGCAATGTTTTCCTAAGTGCTATTATTGACATCAGAATAATTAGAAATGTTATGCTACATTGGTCCGATAACAACATTGTCGTGAGAACGTTGAGTTGGTCAATCATCTTGAGAGAAATGACCTAAAATATCATGATAATTCAAAACCATAAACAATGATGCAATGAAATAGCATATACAAACACAAACAAAGAGTTATACAAATAACATAGATCAGATGGGACCTTTAGGCGAACCAAATAATTTATCGGATTTCAAAAATTGCGATTATTTTATGTACATAACAGATAACAATCGCCAATGTTTGTATTTTTTTAATTTCGATTTTTTTTACAATATTTTGAAATTCAAAATTTAATTCGCTATCCTTGTTAAACGAAATCAAAATGATCAAATACCATATTTCCACCAGATAAACCAATACATGATGCAACAATTTGCAAATTATCGCGCAAAATGGCGATGAAAATATTTCATTTTTTATTGGTTTATAACAAACTGATTTGAAATGCCTTAAAGCTTGCAATTACATTTTAAGCTGAAGACTTTTACCGTACATGTTTGTATTGACCTGTAAAGGTAAAAGAAAATCCTAGCAAGATTGGGCTAGCCATCAGGCTAATTCAGCATAACCTGAAACCCCATTCAAAGTGTTATCAGACATTTCTGATTCACCATACATTATTAGTGTCTACAGTATTTTGAATGAGATCAAACAAACCTGGACCGTCAATGTGAAGCTTGTACGTCTCTCCTATCGTGATACTTTTTATTATGTTATTGTTAGCTGCAGTCGTGACATACATCTGTAGTTGTAATTCTGGTTTCTGCGTTCCCATATATGCAAATGGTATTCTGTAAAATGACACACAGAATTAATGAGTACAGTTGTTAAAATATCATATTCGCCACAAGTTTATATTTGTGGTTCCTTGAATTATGTTCTAACATAGAGGATAGATATATATATATTGTGCTGCCGCGCTATATGACTTTTGGCGTGAATATATACGTCATCTGAATTTTAGTGTAACCCTGTTCTAATGACAACAAGACAAAACAACCTGAACGAACCACACAGAAAATACATTTATCCTTGAGAAAGAACCTCACATGTCTCTTTTGACCACAACAGTGTTAGTTACCAAAAATCTGGTAACGGACAAATGACGCTTGATCATAAAAGTAACAATATTATTAATCGAGTGTTCAGTAAAACGTGCCCCACTCTGCGGCACTCGATTTGTAACTTCTTCTACATGTACCTGTTAATCAACCAACTTCGTTATATGAAAGATTATGCTAATGATTGAGTTGTGGTTTATAAATAGAAAAGGGAGTAAGAACAAAACTTATTGTGTAGGGATGATAGACGGATTTTAAAGCTTTCCAAAGTTAGAGATGAGACCATGTCTGATAGGAGATACTTCAAGTCTGGAACAATTCTGGGAAAAGGAGTACTTGGGGCAGTCTGCTCTACAGTGAGGAATTTGAGAGGAGAAAAAACATAGGCTGTCGCAACTTCTTTTTGTCAGATGACGTTCTTTTGTAATGGCTACACGTGTTAAAAGTTATTGTATATAACAGTGTTCGGCCGGCATCTTAAAGCCTATCAGCAGGGGGCGGCAGTGGAATTATATTTCAAATTCTTTTCCAAACCACGAAATCGGTGGAAAATGGAATTTCACCCACAAAACTAAAATAAGGTTTAAAGACCTATTATCATTTTAAACGGTAAAAGTTGGATTCATAGCATAATTCAGACTTCCAATTTGTTGGCCCCTAGCATCACTAATGAGTCATAGAAGGATGGACAACTATATGATAGCGTGTCATTAACTTGTTGCACACTGTATCTATTTCAAAACAGTATAGATGCAATAACCTATATGTTTGTTAAGTTAAACATTCCAAAATTTACAATATATAGTGTTATATGCAAGGAATAGTATTTCTCGTTATTGATAAGATATGCGAAGTGAAAACGTTCTCTATATTTCAAATATATAATATTACTGTTTATGCAGCTTGTTTCTATTTGTCTGTAAGCATATATTTAGAATTTGCTTTTTAAAAAAGGAGAAATCTGCCAAGGTTATTTTCAACCTGAGTGGCAGGTGTTATGCAAAACAATATTAGATATTTGAAGCAATATTCGTTGCAAAAATTCACACTTATCAAAATGTAATACATGCAACTCTGATTGATTTGTAAAAAGTATAATATTAAGACGCTTATCAATAATCGATAAAGCATTAAAACATTGAAATCAAAAAACAAATGTTCTAGAGCTCGTATTGGAACAAGCGATGTTGTGAATTAAAAGGATGCTCATTAACTTGCTTAGCTACGGGTTTTGATAATTGCAAGGACAACATTTCTTATATGTTTCAAATGGGATGACGAAAAATTGATAACTTTCTGGTCGTATTTATTGTTATTTGTTTTATAAATAACGATAATATATGATAATGATATTTACAAAACATACACGTAACACCACTACATAACATTGGATAAATACCAAACGTATTATAGGTAACATCGATAAGGTAATTGCAATGTAACGTGAAAGGAGCAGATGCTTTCTGCATCTTGTTTCACTACTTGTTACATTTTCTGTAATACTCTACTTCTATCACCCCGTTTGGATAATTCAATAGGTTTGCCATTGTTAATAAAGAGTGTGTCGGCCTCGAATACTATCGTCCAGTAGAGCCAATACAGCTTCATTGCTAAATGAAATATACATCTGTTGGCAGGAAGGTAAGAGACTCTAAATAAACCTTTAAAACGTCTTTAAAAATACTTTGTCAGGAATATAAATCTAGGCATTTCCGTCCTTTAGAATAAGTTGACTGACGTCACAGTATAACTCACGTGCTATTCGAGTTTGTTACAAAACGTTCGAAAATATTCAAGTTAAATAAGATAGTTTAACAAAGGGACGAATTACATCATGATATAAATTCGTTGGGCAACACTTGTAAATTGTTGATCAGTCATCGATTATGTAAGACGGGATTGCATTGCACTGATACTCGACTGCGTGAACGTTTTACTTAAAATTCTATACCTCATGTTAGACAAGGTGGCAGGCATGTACATGGCAGGTGAAACAAGCAAAGCGGATTAACCGATGGTTTACTGGAAGATAAATTCCATCTAGTCACAGATTCTGAGGTAGCAAATAGTTATTAAACAACCGAAGAAGATATTGCTACCTATGAAACCAAGATTAAATTAGGAGTTGGACCGGCTACAGGGTTATGGAATTCATATTTTTGATAACAACCCTAAGACGTTTTCAGAAGAATATTTAATCACAGTATATCTGGATCTAAAGAAGAACGTTCACGAAATGCTAGCCAATTTGACGCCATTTTGGGCCACTACACAGGCCCCTGGAATGAGCCTAGGTATTAATATGAAACTGTATCCACATAATGATAACTGCAACTGAGCATTAGAAATAAATATCAGAAGTTTTAATTGTTTTTACAATCTACAGTAAACTTAACTCCCCCCGCCCCCCCAAGGTTGGAATCCGTAAAAAAAGTGATGGTAAAATTCACAATTTTATAAAATACTTTCAGACCATTCCATCAATGAAAGAGGTATTTGATTCCCGCATATTTGGGTCTAAAGAAAAAGATTGTTCAAATTGGACCCATTTTGGCCCTGTCCCTCAGCACCTGCGGAAAATTTATTAAAATTGATTCCGTGGATTTGGTAAAGAAGTCATAAATCTGACTTGTATACGGACGGACAACGCCTGACGCACGACAGACGACGCCAAGAAAAAAATATACGTCAATTAAGACTTCGTCTTATGTGACCTAGAATTATATTTCGATAAAGCAAAATAATAATTCCACATAACGAAAAATCATATTTCGTTATAACGCAATAATATTTTGATAAGTGAATAGCATGTCATTTTAGGGGTTCCGTACAAGGGCATTTTATTTACTTTATTTCTGAAATTATGCAATTAATAATTTAAACTTTACGCTTTTCAATGGACATTGTTTGAAAGCAGGATATTGAAATAACTTAAATCTGTCTTAGTAGACTTTAAAAGTTAAATTTCACTTTTTTAAATAAGAAAGTGTTAGATACATTCTTTTTTTACTCTGGTAGAGGGACTTCAATGTGGAACGTACATATGTACCACCAGTCCGACGATTTCACGTAAGAAGCAAACATTAATCTTATTTAAGCATGGAAATAACCTACTTGTCGTTTAATGACGTGTTTGTAAATAAGACAATACCACTCGATGTGATTTCTGTACACTGGAAGGCAAACGTTTCTTTTTCATTCCTGATGATCGTGATTGGTGTTACAGATGGGATTGGGGTCGAGGATGATGACATTAACACCGTCACGGTAACATTTTCTCCCTGTAAAATAGGCATATTAGTATATGAAAATAAATAAGGTTTTATATTGTATTATTCTGCCAGAATTTTAAAAAACGACTTAATACATTCATTTCATAAAAAGAGCAATTAGCATATTTTATATTTTATATTTACATTAATTTAGAGCTATCTTGATTAGAATTGTAGACATTTAACAGAAACGCTATGTATATATTTATATCAGAAAAACATTCAAAATTCTTGTGATGGTAAAGTATAAAAAAAAAAAACAAATACAAAGAGTTTCTTAGTACCTCTCTAGCGCTTTCACCTCTTTAGAGGTTCATCAGGGGAACTGTTTATATATATATAGGATCTTACACGAGTTTCCATTTCATATGAGATTTATGAATCGAGTCTAAGAATTTTTCGACTAAGCGAGCCTCTGGCGAGCTAAAATGAAAAATTCGTGACGAGTTTCATAAATTTCAAATGAAATGAAAACGAGTGTCAGATCCTTTTTATCAAATATTCAAGATTTTTGGTAGTTATTCGTGTAAAACGACAATTTTCATGGACCTTGAAATGTAAAAAGCAGCCATTTTGACTCCAGTGCGTAAGTCTCTGACATCATGTACTTGTCCTAGGCTGGACGTCACAATTTAAACAATCAATCATAGGGCTGATAGATCATATTTCATAGATTACGCAGAAAAATATGACATGGACATATTCACTTGAAAAAAACCAGTACATTATGTGATTAAAATTTACTATACATGAAAACATTAACTGTATATCTTGAAATGCTAGTTATGCTATTGTTTGTGATAAATGTTCTGGACTTTGTATTAATCAAACTGGACGTGAATGACGCCAGCGAATCACACTACAACGACAACAAACTTAACATGATGATTTCAGATTTATACATGTTACCAAACATATCCATAATTGTGATAACATTAAATTCATGGTCATCCATATATACCAAATGTATTCGTCTGATGTTATAAAAAGGGAAATCAAATAGTCGGGGTTGATTAAATTATCAAAACCCAGTCTGAATAGTTTACAATAAATGTATTTTTACCAGACAATTGTCGTGAAAGGGATATATATTAGTTACCGTACTTTGTTAAGTCATAGTGTCGATTATGTCGTTATTTCATGTGCACTCCTCAGAATAAACAGTCTCCTGAAGAACCTCTTTACTGTCCAATGAGTTACAAAGCATTGAAACGTTAAAAAAGACATCTTCTTTAATAAGAAAATCATGTTTACGATATGTTTTCTAATTTTCAAGCAAAGTTGTCTCCTTCAATTTTACGACTTCTTCTTTTTAATTCAAACTATTAGTTGTAACACCAGCATTCTTTTTGAAGAAAAAGATTTCTCCTTTCGCAGCTAAAATATTATGAAATACAATAAAAAACTGACATTTAATATGCATGCTAATACCTTATTGCAGGTGACAAAAAATTGTTCGTTTGTAGTGACGGTTACAACGGAGGGTGTACTTCCATTGCATGTCCATTCCACGTTGTAATAAAATGTTTCTGCAGAAGTCAAAGTCACAATTATGTTGTCATCAGGATTGCAATCTGTAAACAGCAATTATAAATGTTCAATGAAAGGATTAATTGACAAAACAATAGTATCACGTATTATGTCTTCACATTCGTTTATATTATACAACTTGACACAAACGAAATAATTATAAGAAAAAAAATACGTACATAAGTTTAACAAATACTTTATTATGATATCCATCGAAAGAATGTTTCATGTAATATTGGTTGAAACAAAACACACCTCATTTTTCAGGAAATACTTCAAGTTTTTGAAAATATATAGATGAATATAAAGAAAACATTGAGAAGTCCTTGTGTTGGAATTAAATATAAAAATTAGAACAAAAGACAGAGAAAGCGTCTCTAGGCCTTTCTCGGGTTGATTCCCCGTTCATCAGGAGACTGTTTATTTTTAAAAACAGGCATTATGAGGTCATAGTTGTTTACACAAGAAAGTATGACGTCATCAATAATGCAAAGTCATTATGACGTCACAGAAGGCATACACATAAATCCATGACGTCAACAACAATACAAGCTAAATTGTGACGTTACATTACTTAGACAAATGCATAACTTTATGATCTTACCAAAAATAAAATATACAGGAGATACAAATTGCTTCATTTACGGCAGAACGTCATTTGTTGCCGTAAATGAAACAATTTGTATCTCCCGTATTTTTTATTGTTGGTAAGATCATAAAGTTATGTTTTTGTCTTCTATATATATATATGCATACAATGACATTTTTCATGGATTGTGGTCTATATGACGATTCTCGTAATGTTCTCTTTAGAAATTTGACTAAGTAACATAAGATTGATCTGATATTTTATTGGATGGTTCTGACCAATTAGTCAAGAAGAAACGCAAACCGCAGTCTCATTTTTCAAGATTGTAATATATTGTTAACTGTAGTAATTCAATCAACTTCTGAGAACTGTAACAAAAAGTATCATTTGGTCCAGTTTCAATCAAATTATTGTTTCTGATTTTATTTTTAAATATTGACCTCTATATATCAGCTGCCATTAACACATCAAAGTATGTTATATAATTTAATTCCGTGATATTTTGTAGAATCTTAATATATGTTATGATTTTGTCCAATTGTTTTTATTTATTAGAAATAAACTATGTCAAGAATAAACGACCACATGGCAAGGATATATCTTACGTCTAGCTACATTCTTTTTAACCAAAACATCCAACACGTGACAATCAATTATAGTTTGTACATATGTATAATTCCAAATTTGATTTCGGGTTTTGTCAAAGGTTCTGTAATTAGTTAATAGTAGCACATGTCACCAAAAAAAATAGCTGTTAATTTAGTATGAACGGCTGTTATTTAATATAACTACTTTAACATTTTTCCAAATCCCAATTTTTCAGTAAGCGAATTGTCGTTCGAGTTGTTTCCCATTGCATAAACTAAACTCGCCGTAAAAAATATTTGCATGATCTACTGTTGTTTATCATTATGATTTTATTGTTGTATGTTTGGATTATTGTTTAATTTGAGTAAAAGAAGTTTAAAAAAAATATAAGTTTAACTACAGTTGACCTTATTCACAACAGTGAGACGTTGTCGTTTGACATAGACGATATCAATCTGACAAAGCTCAAAATGACAATAGTTCGATGTCACTCCGCACAGTGATAAACATTGTGGCGATTCAAGAATTTAAATTTAGGATGTTTTCAACATCAGAATGTATCAATTGAGTTGAATTTAGTTATATTGTATCATCCATAAATGTCCACGAACATGACGACGTGGCATGTAAACACTAGGCCGCACTACAAACAACCATACCCCGAAGAACGCGGGGTTGGAATTACGACACATACTGTTCTTCTCATGACATACAAATTAAAAGTCTTTCATATTTTATATCCATGAATAATCTATGAAACAAAAACCTTACGAGTCTAGCTAACACATTTCCCGTAATAATAAACGCCGCCGCAAGTTTCTCAAACCGGGTGTCAACCCCGGCCTTTTCGTTCCCCAGGATCATCATACCTCGACGTCACCGTACACGAGGCTACACTGTTGTAAACTTTCTCTATGTAGAATCGCCTAAGTTAGGTTATAGCTTATTCTTAAATTTCGTCAATGTTTTTCCCAACAAGGTCGCTCAAGCCGGATGAAGCGGCCGTTTGATACC